TATACATTTGAACACTTAAATATTACAAAATTTTACAACAATCTTTCTTTTAAAAAAAAATCTTCAAAAAGCTAAAATCATCTTCTAACCCTTTCCTATAAGTCACTATAGAACTCCTATCAAAACTGGGGAAGGCAAGGAATGAGAAAGCTGGAAGAAACTAGTGTGTTCTGCCTAAACAAGCAAAAAGGAAGGGTTTTTTTCCTATACTTCATCAGTTTGTAAGGAGGAGGATGGGGGAAGCACAGGAGACAAGAGAAAGACTAAAGAGCCATTTATGCCCTAATTTTGGTTAATCAGGATAGAGAACTAAGTTAATTCTTCGATGGCAAAGAGTTTGACATCTTTAATTAGTTAGCTGCACCTATCTAACAGTCTGTGAGGAGACTATAGCGTAATATTCTATGTACAGCTACCCTGAGTGCAGTCTGTTGTATTTAGAGTATTTTGCAAATTGAGTTAAGCTTGATGAAAAGCACTCATTCCAGACACAGAGCTACCACCTCTTAAGTATTTGGTTGATTTGAATAGTGCTAATTTAAACCATATTGCAAGAGGCAGCATGCACGGATGGCAGGAAGGATGCGCATCCAGGGCCCTGGCACCCTGTCCTAGGCATGTCCCGGGCTAGCGGTGTAGCCCAGGGCAAAGGATCCAGCCTCCCTGAGAGGGCACAGGGACACCTGCTGCATGGCACTGAGGAGCGGAGAGGGGGCCCGCACACCCTAAGTATCCACGACTGAGTCAACCAGTGAGCAGAGGGCGCTGAGTGGGGACAGCGCCTCAGCTGATCTGTCCGCTCTTGACAATGGTGTGGAGGCTATGATCTGAGTGGGGTATGGCATCTTCTGTGGCTGATCTGCTTACGGACAGGATGTCTCCAACAGAAGCCTTGGGGTTCTAGTTATCATTTTCTGGCCTGTCATTAATGGAGCTACCAGTTAGCACAATTCTCTGATCTATTAATTAATGAATAATTAATGAATCCACTAGTTGGTCTAACCAATAAAAATATTTGCAAAAGACATATCAAAGTGTTCTTTTTTAAAAAATAAGCTGCCGAACTACAGTCTGAGCAAATAAGTTAAATTTAAAATAAAAAATATGAACTATTTACTGGTTACTGCATAAAAAGATAATCCCAGATACATGTAGAATGACTAATTTTAATCTATATTTTACATTTAAAATTACACCCTGAAATGCAAATCAGCCATGCACACACACAATGGGTCTATTATTAAGGGAACCCCAAACCATGATTTCTCCTCTGGAGGACACAGAGGAACAAACCCCAGCCTTCTGATATTTGTCCCCCACCCTGCTGGTGACCTCCGATTCAAAGGGAAATGGAAAATGGCAAAATAAGTGATTTTTAAAGCATATTTTTCTGGTTATTAAGAAATACACATCACAGAATATTTAGAAACAAACTAAAAGTATCATTCAAAGAAAGAAATTCGTAATTCTACTACTCAGAAAAATTCTACTGATAACGTTTGTTATGCCTCACCCAGCCTTCTTTGCATATAGGTCATCTCTTTAGTTGAAATGATCTGGTGTATACAGCTTTATGTCCTGCTTTGAGTCTACGTCATACACAAACATTTGCCTTCTTGTTACCAATAACACAAACACTGTAAAGACACAGGACTTAATCATATGGAAACACCATAATTTTCCAGCCAGGCCCTAATTGCCTGCTGTTCCCCTATTGTTTCCTACCCAATTTGTCTCCACTGTGCATAACAAGGCAAGTCACCAAGTCTTTTTCTGTGTTTACACTCATGGCAGCAACAGTAAGAGGGTCTGCACTACACTCTGCTAGCAGTTAGTCTGGCCCCACTCCAATCACAACTCTGAAAAACTTTAATATTAGCAGGACTTTAAGGCACAGAGACCTCTGTTATAGCTTGGATCTAGACATCCCCTCAAAGCTTTGTGTGGTCGTAGGTGGGGCTTTTTGGAGCTGGCTGGATCTAGGGTGTGATGCTGGGATTAAGGGTGTGTGATTATTAAATTAGTCCACTGATTGGTTTGGCATAGTTCTGGGTGTGGACCATGGGAAGGCCCACCCTGGGTGTGGGTGGCACTGCCCAAAAGGTGGGTAGTTTGGAAGGAATAAGAGAGAACAGGCTGCTGCTGCTGTTGTTTTGCTGTCTTCTGCCTGCCATGCACTGTTTCTCCTCTGGGATGCCCCACTGCCACGCTACCCTGCCCTGGAGCCAGCTAACTATGGACTGAAACCTCTACAAACTGTGAGCCAAATAAATCTTTCTTTGTTTAACTCTAAGTGTTGGGTATTTTGTCTCAGCAATGAGAAAAGTAACTAAGACAACCTCTATCCACTATGTGACTCTCTTTCCCCCATTACACAGTAATCCAAGCTTTGCAAAACTGAAATGTTCCCAACCATTCTGTCTGAATGTCAACCCAAGGTGCACAAAGCCCACTTTGCAAGGTTCTTTCTCTACAGCGAAGGGTATGACAGTAATTAGTATAAGTGGCCATCTTGGGGCCGGGCACATGCTGTGGGGAGCTCAGCCTGCTAAGCAGACTGCACATCCAGGGCACTGCCTGTTATAGGGGCTGGCCAGTTTCTCACTGTCTCAGGAAGCCTGGAGCTCAGTCTGTTAGTGAGTTACTTTCGCGAGACTGCTGGGATCACTTATATTAGACAACTCACACAGAATGATAAAGCAGATCCAAGCCTAGATGTGAGCATAAATTTCTTCAAATCAGTGAAGTGTTATCTTGGAAAGGGATTACTGGATGAACTGAACAATTTTGTCTCTTGTAGGTCAAACTAACCAACTGTTACAACCCTTGTGAGTATAATTCAAACTTTACTGTTTTAGTGAGTTTTATTTTTGAGAAAATTTTGATTTCATCTCTCCCACAGATCAGATATTTATTTGAAGATATGCTGCAGCCTATTATGGTCAAGGCTTCAAGCCTACTAGCTAGCGACTTTATGAAGCAGCACAGTTTGCTATCCTTGGTTCCTGACCAGCCTCTGTAGTGGACAGAAAGACACTGAGGCCGAAGGCAATTGGTGGAAATGCGCTCACCACAATCACCGCGGAGAGACTCAACCACCGTCTTTAGACTTGGTCGCATCCCCGAGATGTCCCATTATAGGTACAGTGGATCCTTGACTTACAAACTCAATTCACTCTCCAGGTCCAGTTGTAACTCAAGTTGGTCAACTAAAGGCTCAGGCTCCTCTACACAGGCTTCAAAGCCTCTCAAATGGGATCTCTTACAAAACAAAGGTTTGCCTAAAAGTGACATTGCTGAGGAGAGTCCCTCACTGGACCATGACTAAGAGTATTGGGGCCAGAGCGAGGTGCGGGAGGCAGGGCCTACTCGGCCGCCTGTGGGCCTCAGAGACGCAGCCCTCAGATCCCTGATCTGGAGCCCCAGCCCTGGTCACCTGCACACACACACACACACACACACACACACACACACACACACACACACCTGCTTTCCTTTGGTCTTCCTTCTCCTCACTGTGGCCTTCCGGCTCTCATTTTGGATTCATTTTCCCTTATGAAAGGAATCTTATTAAGAAATATCACGTAACTCTGAAATAAATCATTTCTTTTAGAAGTTTTGTAAAAATCAAACTTCACTCATAATCAAGAAAAAAATAAAACCCCTGGGTGTGGCCATTATATTACCCCCTCCCCTTTTTCTAAAAATAAAGAAGTTTTAGAAGTCTGGAGCTTCTTATAAGGTAACCACTTCAAATATACCCTTTGGGATACAGCAGTCATCAGATTTATTTTTGGAAGGCTGAGTAGGTCAAGAACACCCTAAAATAACCTGGTTTCTATTTAAAATATCCTAATCATTCTGTAACTTAGGAGGACGAAAAGATTACTTTAAAAGATTATTCAAAATAGAGACATCAGCCAAGCATGTGCGTCTCACATGGAGTTGGGCATAGCTACCCTGAAGGACAAAGAAAGAGGTCTCTCACTACACATGTGCGAAAATGTACCGCGTACGTGAGAAAAAACTAAAAGATGCAACGACAGACAACTGTCTCTTGATGCCACAGAAAATATATTAACTGTGAAATAATGTGCTAAATCCAAACAAAAAAGAAAGGCATTTTTTTTAAGAAAAGCATTTTTAAAGGGACATTTACATGCTGCCATCTCAAAACGTTGTGACCGAAAGGAATTTCACAGCCACCATGAGACAGGCGATGTTGCCACAGTCAAAGGTGAGCAGCTCCTGTTCGATGCGGACACAGGGTGCTGCTAGAGAGGGAAACTTACCAGGCGCTTCCAAAATTTTAAGAAGCAGATCTCTACCAAGTTATTTTACCCAAACATTATCTTTTATGCCTCATTTCCAGAAGCACAGGGCCATGAAAGGATGACTGAACTTTGCTAGAAAACCCCATGCGTAGAGGTCTCGTGTCTGGCGGAGGAGCCCCAGGGAACAGACACAGCTGGGTTGCCAGCAGGAAAGAGGGGTGGATCTAGGGTGCGAATCTAGGGTGCTGCAGGATGCTGAGCTCTGAGGAGGAAGGGAGCACAGGGCCGCTGCCCCCTGACTCAGGCCCTCCATGTGGCACCTGGCTGATTAGCTCCTGCTGTGCTGAATGGACAACAAGGTAAGCCTGGAACACAGAAAGGGATGGGAGTCACCACCAGATTCTCCCAGGGGTACAGCCTGGAGATGGGGCCGGAGGAGAGCAGTTCTTCCTGCACCTCCCGGCGTCTGGGTGAACCCTGCTCCCCGCTGTCCACCAGGACAGCCCCTTCCTCGTCTCAACAGGCATTCAGTGATCACTGCCAACGCACAGCCCCGGGGAGGTGATTTAGCAGCACCATACCAGAAAGACTTCCTCGCTTGGTGCGATCACTGCAACAGTGCTAGGGCTGGGTCCCCTGGTTCTGAGTTTTGCTTCTCTGGTCAACACCAGAGTGGAGCAAGCATCCTCAGGGGACCGTGCTGCCCTGCTCCTGCTCCAAGCCCACCTTTGGTAGGTCCTTTCCTGTTGAGCACAGCCTGCTGCTCCTCTGTGATGTTCAGCCGCCGAACCACGTCGGCCAGTGCAGACTTGAGCAGCTGGATGTCATCCTCCTGCATCTGCACGCGCTGCTCCAGAGAGGCGATGCGGTCCGACACCTCCATGCTGCTCGAGGCAGACGCGCTGTCATCTAAACCAAAGGGAAGCATGGCGTGAGTCTCAGAGGCTCCCCAGAGCGACCAGATCCACAAACAGGCCCTGGCGCTACCCCAACACCATTGGCAGAGCGGAGATGGCTGCTCTGATACTGAAACCATGAAAAGTCATTTGTACAGAGAAGCCCAGCTCCTCACTCTGTCACAGTCTCTTCACTCCCCACATCTGTGCTTTTTGTGTTTACACTGTGGTTTTCACTGTCATTATATTTTTCTACATCTGGGCCGGTTCATTTTCTTTTCCATGACATCTGAGAACCTCAGAAGTGGAAGGGAGATTAAAATCTACCTACTGCAACTTCCCAACATGCAGAAAACCATCTCTCCTGGTCTTCTGCTCTTACTCCAACAGCACTAGCTGACAGTAGGTCACACAGTCTAAGACCGCACTTGCCCTCGGTCCAGACTTTGGGCGGTACAGCACTGAACGGGCAGGCGAGCCCTTAGTGCACACTGCTGCCCATTCCCTTGTGATTCTCACAAGTCTCAATTCTCCTGAACTCTACCAGGCTGCACGGGATCTTCCAGAGTGGATTTGCTGCATGACATCAAATAATCCGACTCACAGGTTAATAGGAACACAAGAAGAAGACAGAAAAAGAGAAACAACAAGGGAGAAGAAAGTCCATACATCCCAAATCTGATGGGCAGAAATGTGCAATTATAAAACACTCATCAAAGACCAAGAAAACAAAATGCTCCAAGGCCGACCTCAAGGTCATCAGAGTTAAACTGTTGAAAACCAAAGGTAAAGGCCAAATACTGAAAGCAGCAAGAGAAAACGCCATATCAATACTACATGGGACCAAGTCTCACCAACACCTGACTCCACATCGTGAACCACAGAGGCCGGAAGAGAGGGGAACAGTTCTGCTAGAAAACTGGATGAGAAAAATTCAACCCAGAACTCTATGTCCAGCAAAATATCTTCTAAGAAAGAAGGCAAAACAAAGTCGTCCTCAAATGAAGAAAATCGGAAAGAATTCATCCCAGAAGGTCTGTAATACAAGAAATGCAAAAGGAACTCCTTCAGGCTACATAGAAATTATAAAAGACGTGCCTCAGCCCTTCCAAGAATGGAGAATGTTGCAAATGATGAGTATCTGAATTAGCTCAAAGACTAACCTTTTTCTTTTTCCCTCCCCTGCAATGTTCTTATAAGCCTTTAAATTTATAACAACAAAAATGACAGCATTGTCATTTGGTATTTTTAACATTTGCAGATGTAATACATACAATTAGCATAAGTGAAGTATATATGACTAACGCAAATAGCTATTATTTATTTATTTATTTATTTATTTAATTTTTTTGGTACCAGGGATCGAACTCGGGACCTTGCGCTTGCGAGGCAGGCGCCGGAACCACTGAGCTAAATCCCCGGCCCAGCTATTATTTATTTTTATGGACAAAACTGCTTAAATTTATTCTGGACAATATGCTGCTTTGAAATAAGTGCACCCTGTGAAATGACTAAGTTGGGCCAATTAACATTTGCGTCACCTCCCATACTTACCCATGTACCATTTTTTTGTTGAAGTAAGAACACGTAAAATCTACTTTTTGTGATTCTCAAGAGTACAGGACACTGTTCTTCACTGCAGTCACCATGTTGTGCCGTGGAGCTCATGGAAGCTGCTGTTATTAAGCATAAATACCTAGCATTAACTGTAAATAGAAAAGTTACAGAGGTACATTGCCATCCCTGGTAAACTACTTAAAGAATAAGGTAAATAACTGAGGCTAAAAAGCCAATGGAAAAAATAAAATTCAAGGGCCAGGATTTAGCTCAGTGGCGCCGCACCTGCCTTGCAAGCGCAAGGTCCTGAGTTTGATCCCTGGTACCAAAAATTAATTAATTAATTAATTAAAATTAAAATTCAAAAGGGAAGAAAAGAGGAAGGGGGTTAAAAAAAAGAGAGAGAGAGAGAGAGACCAAAAGCCAGAAATAACCCTAATAGCGATGATTACACTAAGTGTCATGAAAACAGTAACTGTATCAAACACATCATATAAAAGACAGAGAATGGCAGAATCAAAAAATCCTTTGAGCCCAGGGTGGTGGCGCAGGTCTGCAATCTCAGCACTCAGTAGGCTGAGGCAGGAGATCTCCACAAGTTCGGAGCCAGCCTGGGCTACACAGGGAGAGCCTGTCTCAATAAGTAAGTAATTAAGTTGAAAAAGCAATGCCCAAATGTATGCTCCCACAAGAGACACATTTGAAATGTGACACAGAGAGTGAAAGTAAGCGGACAGAGGGCCAGGGACTTAGCTCAGTGGTTTCGCCGCTTGTTGCGCAAGCGCAAGGATGAGTTCGATCCCCGGTACAAAAAAAAAGAAAGTAAATGGATAGAAAAATGCCATGTAGCCAGCGAAAGAGGGCTGGAGGGGTAATATTCATATCAGATAAAGCAGGTGTCAAAATGTATTATTAGAGACATAGAGGGTCATTTCACAATGGAAAAAGGGTCAACAATCAGGAAGCTGTAACAGTCATAAAAATGTATGAGTCCAATATAAAGCTTTAACACACATGAAACCAAAACTTACAGAATTAATGTGAAAACAGGCAACTCTGATTTTTCCTAAAGAATGGAACACCCCAGCTCCCAGTGACAGATGGAACTAATAAGAAAATCAGTAAATGATCTGAACAGCAGCAAAGGATCTGTATCAGCTACAGTACCTTATTACTTATAGAGCTGGGGATTTAGCTCAGTGGCACCGTGCCTGCCTCACAAGCACAAGGTTATGAGTTCGATCCCCAGTCCCAAACAAACAAACTTATTACTTATAGAAAAACCACACCCAAACGTTCACCAGCACACATTCCATTCTGGGCCTTGAAGCAGGTGTGGATGAAGTCAGAGACCAAAAGAGCATATTCCCTGACCACAGTGCTGCACACTAGGAGTCAAAATTAGTAAGACAAACTGGGAAGCCACATATGTTTGGAACTCAAATGCTTTGTGGGTCAAAGAAGATATCACAGGAGAAATGAGGAAATATTTTTAATTGACTGATAACAAAAACCCAACCTATCGAAGTATATGAGAGGCAGCTAAAGCCAGGCTTCGAGGGAAATTCATAGCTTTAAACATGCATGAAATTGCTGCTGAGGATATGAAGATGACTGGGTCACTGGCCCTGCCTTAAGAAGCTGTCAAAAAAAAAAAAAACAACAAGCTCTCTGTTTAAAGGACAAGATACATGTCTACAAGTTTTTAAAACAATTTGACAGACTGTGTAATTGAGAAATATTCAATGTGATAAGTGAACACCACAAAGGGGATATTAATTGCATTTCAAAAAATAGCATCAAGTAGAGGGTGGCCATGAAGGGTAAAAACATTACCAGGTGGAAAAGCAAGCATTCCAGGCAAAGGAAATGATTTAAACAGAAATGGGAAAATATAAAAAATATTCAGATAATATTAAGTGGCCTTGGAAATTGAAATCTGCTGTCATGTAACTTCTGCTTTCTGAATATAATCCTGCACTACCCCTACAGTTGGGCTGTATTGATTCTCTAACATCTAAGTCTTTGACATGTAGAAATATATGTCAGGTTTGTCTGTGGTTCATCTGAGAGAAAATAATAGATATTAAATACCTGTTAACAGAGAGAACTTATTAAGTACCCATGCACTTGGTTTAAAACTGCTATGCTCTTAAAATGAAAATGCTGTGTAAGTCTTCTAAAATTATATCCAAGGCACATCTCTTTAAAGAAATCAAACTATGAAGCAAGAACAACTTGAAACTGTCCTTTTCTCACATTCCTCCTCCCCTAGAACTAAATATATCATTCTTTTTGCTCTGGACACGGAGTCAGTCCTATTGTGCGTTGGGAGTACTGCTGGGCATCTGTGTATCTTTTTTTGTCTCTCCTTGTTGAGCAAGGCACACAAAGAATGTTTAAAACTCAACAGCAAGAAAACATCCCAATTAAAAAGTACATGAGAGAAAAATATAACCAAAAGACTTGAATAAACACTTTGCCAAAAATGTTATGCAGATACCAAACAGGCATTATGAAAATAGGTTCAACATCCTTAGTCATTAGGGAAACGCAAATTAATCTGGAATGACAGCCGGGCGTGGGGAGACAGGGCTGCAGTCCAGCACTCAGGAGGCCGAGAGGTGAGAATCGCAGGAGCCCAGGAGAGACAGAGACCAGCCTGGACAACACAGCATGATAGCTCCCTAAGGAGAGAAGAACACGCACGTGCACGCGCACTCATAATGAGACGTCACTCTACATGCATTAGCATGGTTAAGATAAAGCATACTGACAACAGCAAACATAGCGAGAAGACAGACAAAATGAAACTCGCCTACCTTGCTGCTAGGCACACAAAACACTGAGGCCGTTAGCATTCAGCGTTTTCTTATAAAGTTAGCCATGCACATACCACCTTGCCATTCCTAGGTGAACGTACATTCAAACAAAAATGCTTATGGTGCCTCTATTTGGGCTTGGTAATTACTGGAAATAACCCCGCATGGTTCAACTGGTGAACGGATAAATGGTGCTCTGCCATACAGCTGAATACTACATAGCAATCACTATAAAAACGAACAAACGACGTGGATGGGTCTCCAAGGTGTTGTGTTGAGTGAAGGAAGCCAGGTTTAAAAGGTGGACTCCATTTACCCAACCTTCCCCCAAGGACAAAGCTGCTACAGCGAAAACTAGGTCTGAGGTTGCCGAGGGCTGAGGAGGAACCCCAAGAAGGAACACTGGCGGTACTGGAAACGTTCCACATGTTGGGTGGACATAGTTACACAAATTCGCACCGTGTTAAAATAAACAGAATTGCCTCAAAACAGCAGTTCTGTTGAATGTTAACATATAAAATAAAATAACTTTATAGGAGTTCAGGGAGATAAGGTCTACTCATTGACGTGGTGATTTGAGAGTCACTGAGATCTCAGTTGAGAAATACTTCTATGAAAGCTGAATACTTGTTGC